GCAGAAAAGCTACTGTAATACAATGTGCCATTATGAATAAGGTATTTCTTTACAAAATTGAAAGCTGGGAATATTAAGCAGTTTCTATGTCTAATGTTTTATATAAACGCTTTGTCACATAATTGTTAATAATACAATCTATGCCTTTTCCATAGATTTATTGAAGTACTTAGTGATAATTAGTGACAGGAAAACCAGAGTATGTTCTCAGAAATGCACCACTGCATGATTTTGTCATTGCGCAAAACATTAGAGAGGGCATGCACATGAATCAAGACTGCCGCAACATCTCTATGCCCTACAATTGTGGTTAGATGCAGTCTATCATGGACTAAAATATTGTTATTTTGCATAATGTTGGATCTAAAACACATATATGTGATAATGTCCAAATTATCTAGAATTTTCCATAATTCTACAGTCCAGCTAGTATTTGACTATAGCTCGTTCTTAGATCCGTGTCCTTTTTCCAGTTCTCACATCCAAGCTGTGCCCGAACCTCTTGGTCTCCCTTATTCTGTTTCCCAAGATACACTGCCATCTCAGTCTTCTTAAACCACACCAAGTCATGGTTGGGATTCTGCCACACTCCGGGCTGGTTCTAAGAAATTTACATATATCAGCTCGTTTAATCTTCTCAAGGAAAATTGATACCCTTTCTTCATTTTACAAATGAAGAAAGGAAGGTCATGATTTCAAGCGGCTTGCTCAGAGGAGCAGGGTAAAGGGCAGGTAAGGTTCCTGTCTCACATCTCTCCCCACACCAGTGCTTTCTATACCTGGCCTCATCTTCCATCCATTTTTCAGCTATATTTCTGACCCTATCACCTGACTCACAGTCTTCCCACTAAGCTCACCAAATGATCTCTTAACGTTCATATTTAACGGGCTTGAAGTAGCCTGCTTTCTTCACCTTATTTCATATTTCTACTTTATCTTTATTTGGAGGTCCCTTTAATTCAGTTTATATTATAATCATCTTCATCATCATCGTCATGATTTGAATGAGGTCTCCCTATGTTGCCTAAACCTGCCTTGAACTTTGAGGCTCAAGAGATCTTCCTGCTCTACTCTCTCTGGTGGCTAAGACTAATTTGCATTGCATGAAGTTCCTGTCTCCATCTTCTTTGGTGTCCTCTCTGTCTTTTTCTCTTTTACAGATTCTTCAACCCTGCTTTTTCTTGGCTTGAATCCTACGTCTTATTTTTCTGCCTTCTTCCCCCAGGAGCCATCTCCACTTTCATTTTCCAACTTCTACAGCAGCAGCTCCGGTTCTCTCTTTGCGCTCTGTCTTCACGCATCAGCTGCTTTCTACACTTCATGATGCAGTGCCCTCTTGGAATCTCAGACGTGGTATCAGATACCAGAGCTTCTCCCAGCCCCTCTCAAACCCTTCTTTTATAAATGATAACCCACATCATTTAATTTCCTTGATTTTATACTTAATTCATCATTATTTTTCCCACTTCCTGTCAGTGAAGAAACCCAGGTAATTCTACTCCCACAAGGCTAAGATTTTGTATTCTCACTCTCACTGTTGCCACGCATAATCACAATTTTTTCTGAAAAATCACCATTTGCTGTGTGTATTCACCTGTATTTTAGCTATAATACTATCCGTAGGCAAGCTACTCCTTAAACTTTTACAAGAACATCTATGTCTCTTTGTTCTAAATTTTGTTTAAGAAGACTCCAATTCAGTTACTTGTCTTCAATAGCATCTTTACTTCTTATAATACTTGTAAAGTATTACATTTAGAATTTTAAATATTTATTGGGATTAGGGCAATGGCTCAGTGGTTAAGAGCATTAGCTGCTCTTGCAGAGGGCCCAGGTTCAGTTCTCAGCATCCACATGGTGGCTATCAGCCATTTATAACTCCAGTTCTAGGGGATTCAACACCCTCTTCCAGTCTCTATGGGCATGACAGGGATGCACTTACATGCAGGCAGAATACTCATACAGATAAAATAAAAATAAATAAAAATATTTTTTGACTTTCTAATATTTTATTTATTATCTATTTTATTTTATGTTTATGAGTATATTGCCTGCATGTATATAAGTACACCTGTGTCAGGCAATGCCCACAGAGATCAGAAGAGGGTGTCAGATTCCCTTAGAACTGGAGTTACAGAAGGTTGTTAGCCACCATGTAGGTGCTGGGAATTAAACCCAGGTCTTCTGCAAGAGCAGTCAATGATCCTAACTGCTGAGCCATCTCTACAGCCCTGTGTTCACTTTTTAAAGCATAAAGCACTTTCAGTTAAACATACACTTCAAAGAATGCATTTGGGGTATATTAAACCACAAAATTCATATTACTGTATTTCACACATTCTAAGCACAATAGAAATCAAAACCTTTAATAAAAATGAAATTTACACCAACTCTTTTTTTAATATTTTATTTATTATTTTTATTTTTAATGTATATGAGTGTATTGTCTGCACGTGAGTGCACCCGTGTCGTGCAATGCCATGGATGTCAGAAGAGGGCTTCAGATTCCCCTGGAACCGGAGCTAAGGACTCCAGTTAAGGTTCATAGCTGCCATGTGGGTTAGGGAATTGAACCCAGGTCCTCTGTAAGAGCAATCAGTGCTCTCAACCACTGAGCCGTCTCCCCAGCCCCATGAACTCTATCTTTAAGAATTTTAAAAACTGTTAAGGGAAATGAGGCATGTATCTAAACAGCAATGATATGTTTTGAAATATGATCATTACAAATTGTATGTTAAAAAGCTCCCTCAGAATTATACTGAGGGAGGATTTACTCTCACTGAGTGAACTCTAACAGACTCTGTGGAGTTAGTGTCTGACAAGGACTTCAGAGACGAACAGAAAGTGAACTTATTTGTTCTTTTCTTTATACCTTGTTGAAGCCCACTTATACACTAAGCTCTGTACCAAAGAGACAAGGCTTTATTTCAAGTTGTTTTCAGCCTAATGAAAAACAAAAGGCCACAGTGACAGAGGAGAAGCTCATCTCTATAAAGTGGCCCTGCTAGAGGTGAGAATCAAGCTACAGGGATTGAGTTCAGGCAGCAATCCGGTGATCAACAGTGGACAGATGGGCTGGTCGTGTGGCAGTGATAGCTCAGAACAGCTGACAAAGGTGCCAGGTGTGGTGCCTAGGTTATAGGACGCAGAAGGCCTTCTTAGGGACAGCTTTTCTGACGAGCCAATAATGCTAATTCACAGACCATTCTACACATGGATTCATTGTTTATCAGGAAGTCCAAAACTCCACTGGACTGTATTTCTGATTGGAAAATTAACCTTTATTAGTACCCAGCAGCCCAGCCACAGGACTTGTAGAGTGTTGATAAACTCCCACTATTGCCTGTTTTAGTTTCCCAGACAAGCATCACTGCTGTGCTGGTCATTTCTCTTTAGTTCTCACTTGCAGGTAGCTGCTATCTTACTTTATTTCACCATGACCCGTATCATCCACAGGAAATGAAGCAAAAATAATGGCAGTTTCCTGATGCTTCAGGATCCTGCACTTCTCTATTGCTGATGATCATAATCATCAACCACTACCAATGAGTTAGGTTGATCTTTGCCTTTCTGTTAGAGTTTAACATAATCTATAGCCTTCCACTTAAGTACATATTTAGAAAAAAATCCAAAGTATGACTTCAGCCTCTATTTTGACCAGTTATATTTGACCATACAAAAGTAAAATAGTCAATTCAAAGAAATAAATCTATTAGCAGAAAAAGAGTTTAAAATTCCCAGTTTTCTTCATAAGAATATTTTCTTTTACATTTATTATCATAGCACATGTTCTTATACAAGTAACTACATAAAACTATTTCTGACAGTAGAAATCTCTGTATTTTGCTATTCTATCATCTTTCTTGAGGCAAGAAAAAATGCTTGAGCCTACAACTGCATTTGACAGTATCCATAGCTACATTATTACAGTGTTCAGTCACTGAGAATAAATTTCAAGAAATAAATATTTCAAAGCAATAGACCTAATCTAGGTACCACAGGGAGCATCTTCTAGTACTAAGGGGCAACATGGGGTACTGGGCACTTAAAGATGATAGAAAATACAGTATCACAAATCAGTGAGGGCTATAGGACTAGACAGGGAGTGACATCCACCATCCTGCTAGGTCCTAGTATCACAAAAGACCAATTCGTCAATAAAAAAATGTCCTGCAAGTTACTTTAGGATGGTTTCTAGGGCTTAGCCTAGTGGAAACTAAACTAGGTGTCTCAGTACCAGCTCCCTCTCAACTGGCAAGTCAGAGCTCTGCACACACCACCTTCAAAGTCAACCTCTGCATCCATGACCTAACTCCACCGTGTCAGAGCCGCTTATATTTCACTTACACTAGACAGCCTGTCAACGGGAAAATCTTGCTGTTTTCCTTCAAAATCCCTCCCCCATTTTTGCCATAACAGGTTTGGGTCTTCTCTCGCTGAGCTACAGGCTCAGCTTAGAGGAAGTTTTCCACCTGATTGCTAAATTTTGGAGCGGGCTATTCTTCCCTGCTTCATTCAAGTCAGTTCCAGGACCACAGCAGATATCTTTTCTTAAGACACACATGGGGGAAGTTATAATTAAATAAACTTATTTCCCGGCTCATCTTCTCTTTTACTCGTTTAAAAGTAGTGCGTTTACCTCAATGCTTACTGCTTGGATTTTTCATCTCTGAAATGTGCTTCTTGATGCCCTCCGCCCTCCAAGCACTCTCTCTGTCAACCCTCAATAATTACTCAAAAGGAAAGAATAATAGTCTCCAGAATCTACTCCAGCTAAATGATGCATTTCCTGTTCAGTCAGTTCACAGTATCATTTTCTGTCTCATCGACTTATCAGCATTGATTTATGCTGAGATGATTTAGGAGCTTGAGATGTGGAGGATTTGATGTATTTTTAAAAGTTTTATGTGCCTTGAACAGGAAGATATTTGCAGACACCCACAACCACAAAAAAATAAGGTAGACAGTATTATTCCTTAAGGCAATACAATGAAACCTACCTGTCCACGCTTTTGCTGGGGGGCCATCCCGTGAGAAGCTTCAGGATATGATGAGGACTTGAGCACAACCCCTCGTACTTTGGGACGCACCACGTCAGAGGTCAGACTTGAGGAAATAGCCAAAGATTTGGGTCGATCCGCTATGGCCCCTGTTCCCCCTGGAGGACTTTGTTCACCTTTTTTATCTGTAGCTTCTTCTTCCCCTTCAGAATCCACAATAAAAACATATTCAGCTTTGAAGAGGTCACTTTGCTGCATTCCTTGAGGCTCCTGTGTCTCAAATCCCTTTCCTTGTGAATTCCTTCCAGTGAGCTCTGAGGGATAAGCCAGTGTCCCTTGGCCTCTCTCCTGTTGGCTCCCACAGCTGAAGGTCATGTGGTCACTGGAATCAAACTGCATCAGACACAGAGAGATGAAAAAGCTGACGTGACATGATAAACGCATTGTTAATATATACTAAAAAGTTTAACCTGCTTATTGAATCGTTTATAAAACATCAAAATATCAGGTCTACCTAAGAGAAATAGATTGCAGTGAATAATTACTTTTATTAGCTTACCTATTTGTCCTGGCCCAAGCCCATAAGATTTAGAGTTGAGACCCAATGTCTAGAAGCAAATATACTTCTCCCTGGCAAGTCATTAGGAATGGACAAAGGGAACGAGGGACAGGGAGACACATGGAGAGAAAAAGAGGTGTCTGTAAAGACATTGACGAAACAAATGTGATGTTATTGGTAAAGGTTAGTTAATTGTCACACAACCAGAGAGAGAAAACCCCATTAAAAATACCAAAATGCTAAAATCCTATAAAGCTTGAAACATCAGAAAGGAAAAGTAGCATTGACATAAATTGCATAAAATACACCAGTAGAAACTAACAATCTAAGCTAATTGGCAGGAGCTTATGAATAGGACACTAAAAGACAAAGATACAGGGCTAGAGAGATAAATCGCTGTGCAAGCATGAGGACCTGAGTTCAGATCCCTCACACATACATATGTACACACACATGTAAATTTTAAAAAAAAATTTAAAAACAGAAAGAGGAGGTAGCCAAAACATCAAGTTCAAGGTCAAGGTCAAGGTTCAATGGGAGACTATCAAAAAAAATTATGATGGAGAAGCAAGATGGTAGATGCCACTGCCTTTCAGTTCCTATAGCCGTTTCTGATTCCTGTTGCTGTATTCTTTTTTACTTCATGGGCTCAGTACCCCCACATTTCCACTCAGTACTGGAGGATGTTCACTGTAGTACCTCCCACTGTGAACCCAGACTAGATCTACTTGTCTAAAATATTTATTTCTTGATGCTTATTCTCAGATAGGTAAATACTGCAATAATGTAACTAAAGGTATTCTCCAAATGGGCATGTGCACCCGACACACATGCATATACATGATCCCTACACACAAAGACACAGACACATTTAGTACAAAGCATTTTTGAAGAACATTATTTCGTTTTGCTTTGGGAATTTTCCCTTTTTTTCCATGCATTTTTTCCATGAATACTCTGAATATTTACAAGACCAGAATTACTATGACTTCATCAAGCTATGAAATTTCTTCTTCTAAAATAACATCCATGAACAGCTTATGGCTAAAAGACTCAGTGTCAATTTCCTTGCTCTACTAACTAGTCTGTAATCATTCTGGGGTGAGTTTGTTTTTGTTTTTGTTTGTTTTATTTTTTGGCAGCTTTATATAAGACTCTATCAGTTCAAAAGAAAGAGTTAAGTCACTAAATACTAAATTTTGTGTGTGCTAATGCATGTATATGTTGCGTATGTAAAGACAGAAGAGGTAATTTATATTCCCAACCCACACTGCTTGGCTGTTCCTGATGATGAAGCCGTTTAGGTAAATTCTGCCTGGCTAAGATTTCTGTCTCTCTATTCCTTTCTTCTGATGTATCTTATTCCACGGAACTTAATAACTACCTCAGATTTCATTATCCTTGTTTACTCTCTTTGTCTTCATTGCCTTCCCAATAACTAATAAGTTCTGTGAGTCGTTGTTATTCATTTGGAATATATGTTCCATGGAGAGTTATGAAATGCATAAATGAATGAGGAGTTACCTCTTCTAATATCAAACTATTTAAAAACTAGGAAGAAAAATCTTAATCTTCTAGATATGTATTCACCAATCAGTACATGACTATTATTATCCAGGAAGCTTTGGGGGTCTGAAACCAAGACTGGGTCATATAGTCACAGTTTGACCCTGTGAGCAGGGCATAATAGCCAAGTATCCTATGAATATATTGTGTGAAGTCAAATACTGTTAAGGAGAAATTTCCCAGAAATGCCTTAGATAGTATTTAAGATTTCCCTGAAATGGTTTGACTCCATTAGTCTTTGGAATAAGACAGCAGCTCTAAAAACTTCAGGGTCACAAATATATGCGACTTTTTAGATAAGAATTTAAGGTAAATTTTTTTAACTTATCCCCTTCCACTTAACTCAAGAATAAGAGCGCACAATGTTTCCCTGTCTCATTTTATTTACTACAATAAATGAAGCAATACTAAAATACATCTTAAAGAGATGAATTTTGCTCCAAAGTTAGTTATTATAAGAAAAATGATTGTCAATTTTTAAGTTTTGATAAATATTTTTCATTATTTATTACTGCATATGAACTGTGCAAAATAACATGGCATGACATTTTCATATGTGCATATTATGTGTCTGAACATATTCATCCTTCAAGTGCCATTTCTTATTCTCCTCCCTGGCCCCTTTCTTCCCTTAGTACCCCTAATTTTCTCCTTTGATTTTCCCTTCATCTTCACAAGGCTTTTTGTTCACTTCTTGTCCAGTATTGACCACTTTGGATAGGTGTGATCTGGGTGTGAATGCAATTCTACAATAAAGGTAACATTCCCATTGAATTATGTAATCACCATAATTGTATTTTTGTCAAAGGGATATCCTAGCATATTTCTGTGCTAGATATTAGATTGTCTTTACTTTCCCTGGTCCTTTTTCTATATAATATTTTTTTTCTTTGTAGTACCTTAAAATACATTTGAATAGTTTTAGGAGTGTGGATAAGGTTTCCCATCAAACATACAAATCTAAAAAAAGAATTAGCATCAAAATATAGCACACCAATATTCCCATAGCCATTGCAACATTATATATTATTTATCATCACATATTAAATAATAACAACCAGCCATTTTATCTTTTCTTTCAAGGTGAACTTAAGCCTTTAGAGCTTATTATTGTCTTCAAATTTGTCTGTGGGAAGTTTTCAGGATACAAAACCCATCCTATTAGTAGTAGACAATAAAACAGCAATCCAGAAGAATTAAGAATAAGCAAATGCATTTTGAGAACCTGCTATCATTTAGGCTGAATTTGCATGCATTTGTGTAGATACAGCAATGAGGAGCCATAAACACCAGTAGCATCATCCTAAGCTAGTGTTCCACCCTGAGCACACCTCAGTCCTCATTACACTTTTTGTCTTTTTGAGGCAGGGTCTCCCTGTAGCCCCAGCTGGCCTGGAACTCACTATGTAGACCAGGCTGGCCTTGAACTCACAGAGATTCACCTTCCTCAGCCTCCCAAGTGCTGGGATTAAAGGCGTGCGCCACCATGCCCAGCATGATCACATTTTTAATCATTCTTGGATTTCACAATAATTTCACTTTAAACAGAGGAAATATACACTGATACAAATCTCCAAGTCATTATGGGTAAATTTAAGATAGTCATTCAAAATTATGAAGAATAAGAATATTCCTACCCTATTTACAGCTTCTGGACTCTTATCACCTGGTTCCTCAGGGATTTTAACAAGGAATTTAGAAGTGTCAGCCAACTGAATGTGGGTTGGTAGTCTTCTGACAGCGGGGACAAATGTGAAGAGCAGAGGCTTGGCTTCAGAATCTCCAGGAGAGACCTAGGAGATATGTAATAAATTACACTTCACCCTGGTCATAAGTTTGTCTCGCCTTTATTCTTAATAGTCCACATTTATTTTGTATGGATAAACTGCCTGCTGTCCTATAATCCTCTGTATTGCTGTCTACAAAACCATATAAAAATACTTATGGTGCATGAGACCCTCATTTGAAACTCCAGTGTTGGGAAGCAATGGGTACAGAAGGACTTGCCATGAGGGGCAACACAAACCATCAGACTGGAAAGCTGCTCAGTGGAAGCCCCCTGTATCCCTACTGCAGGCAGAGCGCACAGCCCAACAAAGCATCTGGTCTGCTTCAAATATGACTTCTATCCATTTAACCCTAGGGTAATAGGCTCAGATTATTGACTTACGATGAACAAATATGCAAGAAAATTACAGCATGTGTTGTTTTGAAGTATGCCCACATGGATTTAGACTTGAAGTACGTCCATCAGAATACCAACACCTGCTCTAAAGTCTAACCCTTCTTGTTCATTTACACTTAACTGAAGAAATTTTATTATGTATTTTATATGTGGCTCTTGGGAGGAGGGTATCATGGTGAAAAGGAAAGAGTCAGTAGGCAACTCACAAGTAAAATGGGTGTTCGCACAACACTAAAGGAGCCTCCAGTCCCACGCATCCTCCCCTCCTACGTCTCTGCCCTCAGCCAGACTCTTTGGTCCTGCTGCAATTCTTCTACTACAGATAGCACCACCTTATGTGTTCAACAAGGTCTTACTAAAATGCCTCATAAATTCCAGAGGCTGGCAATGTAACAATGAACACAAATCCCTACTCTCATGAATTTCCTATTTCAGTGGAGGGAGGCAAGCAGTGACAAAAAAGTATGCAAAATATATAGTATTTCCCTAAGTGCTATTATGACTTCCCATCAGGATTTGCAACAGCCCATACACAAAAATTATGGGTAGAACTTAGGCTCACAGTGACAATGGTAGGAGTGATAAATTCTAGAGATGGTTTCAGGAAAATTTACAACTGCATGTAGAAGATGAGACACAGGCAAGAATTAGGATAAGCATAAAACTTTTAACTGAAGAATTGTAAGAAATGAGAGTCCATTCATGAAATGAAGAACCCAATCTTTTGAAGCGGTTTGAGGACAAAACTCAAAGCCAGAGGGGCGGGAGAGGGGTTTCAGTGCTTGAGTGCACACTGTTCTTTCAGAGGACCACACTTTGGTTCCCAGCTCCCATGTCAGGCAGCTCACAGGGGATCCAATGCTCTGTTCCAGACTCCAAGGCACCTGCACTCATACATGTACAGATCACACACAGATGCAGGCATATACACATAATTAAAAGATACTTTTTAAATTATTTTTATGTGTATGCATGTATTGCCTGCATGTAAGTAAGTGCACCCATGTCATACAGTGCCCACAGAGGACAGAACAGACTGTCAGATCCCCTGGAGCTGGAATTACAGACAGTTGTTAGCTGCCATGTGGGTGCTGGGATTCGAACCCGGGTCTTCTGCAAGAACAATGTTCTTAACCACTGAGCCATCTCTCCAGCCCCAATAGAGTATCTTTTTTAAGTTCAAAGCCATAGGCAGTGGCTCATACTTGGGGGCTAGGAAGGGTGATCACAAGGTTAAAGCCAGGCTGAGCTGTATGTATGACAACAATTTGTCTCAAGAAAATCAAGAAATAGAACCAAGGACCAAACAAAGGAATGGTGGGAGAAAGGATCAATTTTGATGAAGCCAATATATATCCAGTGGAAATATGACTTGTACAGCAAAGGAAAACTTCTATGGAGATAAACTGTCGGGGCTGTTAGCTATATAGATGGTATTGGATCTAGATGACCTCACAAAGTAAACAAACACAAAAAATCAGTTCAAGACTGAGCCGCATAGACTAAAGTCACTTTCTACTGCACTACAGAAGAACTAGGAAGAATAATGCAGGGACTTGGAGGGTGTCGTTGCTCCCCATGAGAAAGAGTCCTGCCCATAATCAAAAGGATAGGTATGCTTTATACACAGCCCAGTCCGAATATAAATCCATGAATTTGTACTGAAGTAATTTGCTTGGCTATTTAAGGAATCCTAAAGGAATATTGGATTGCTGATCACAGGAACAGGAAGACCAGCAGAATAGATATTTGGAGGTAGTTTGAGTACAAGGGCGTTGTGTATGTGAAGAAATTAAGGACACCTGTAAAAGCCAAGCAAATGGTCAAGTATAGATAACCACAGGGTTTAGGGAAGAAGGGCCATCATGTTCAAGGCACTGGATGTATCAGGCTGAGAAGACAAACCTGATGCGATGATGACTGTCTTAGGGAACACCTTAGGGTTATAATGCAGTATGAGCATTTAGTTAGAAGTAGGGGGATTCTGACTGACTATGGACTCTGTTCTTTGACTTTGAGAGGCCTATAGGAAAGGAAGGGCACTGAGCTTGTAAAGGTCAAGGAACTATGAGCAAAATGGTAGACAGGGGCATCTGAAAGCCATGTGGTGAGGGGTGATAGCAAGCCCAGGCTGGAGCAAGAGGCAGCACGGTGGCACAAACTTGAACAAAGGTGAAAGGGGAGTGAGAGGAGCCCCTGGGCTGCAGGGGGTAACTACTACACTTGACTGAAGCACCTATGCCTCATAGAAGCAGTGACCATATATAGACTACATGGGAAAACACCTCTGACCCAACTTTCTCTTTAATATTCTCCTCTGCCTTTAAAAATAATTGCCATTATCCCTTCATGATGGTCTTGTCATAATTCACAGGTGGTAGATTATCCTCAAAAAGTAACAAGTCAGTGTTTTTCGTCATAGGAAGGACTATTCGACCCCTTGTAAGACTGGGGAATCCCTTAGGCTGATCACATAAAACGCAGACCCCCTAGGTTTATTTTCTAGGGAGGTTTCTTTACATATCTGAGTTTACTGGTATCCTGATGAGATAGAGAGTGGTTTTGACAAGGAGGCCACTAGGATATGGGATAGTTAATCTTCACTGTAAACATGATAAGATTTGAAATCATCTGGGAGACACACCTCTGCTGTGACTGTGAGGATGCTTCCAGAAACATTTACCTAAGGAGGGAAAACCCAACCCTGAAAGTGAGTAGCATCATTCAATGGACTGGGGTCTCAGACAGAAAAGAGGTAAAAAGGAAGTCAGGTGAGCACCTGCATCATCTTTCTGATTCCTGCCGATGGGTCCAATTTGGCAGGCTGAACGTTCCTGCTGTCTGTCGTGCGATCCTGACATGTTGAACTGTGCCCTCAAACCATAAACCCGAATAAACCCCTCTCTCTTTTTGTTTGTTTGTTTGTTCTTGTTGTTTCCTTTTTGGCTAGGTATTTGGTGCAACAATGAGAAAAGTGGCTAATATGTGATAGGCCAAATGATTATCCTGTCATTTCATTTGAACAGAATGATAACTCACTAGGAATCAAGAAAGAAAATGTGACACTGTGGCCTTGCTCTTAGGCGCTGTAGTTACACATGCCCTCACTTTCCCACATAATGACTGCTGGTCTACCAGAGGTCTATCCACATGAAATGAAATCCTGACACGTGAAGGACCCTATGAGCACCCCGTGGCTATGAAAGCCATATGACCATTACTAACTGTCAGTAGGTTTACCTTCCAGAGCACACACAACAATCAAAATTTACTTCTACAAATGCCTTACACAATTGTAGCGTTTGGTTTGTTTTAAATCTCTAAAATGCAGAGTTCTACAATTGATATTTCACAAACCTTTAACAAGTTGATATCGGTAATCTTAGCAAAAATCTTAAGAACAAAGCATGAAGGAAAACTCATGCACCAGAGACCAAGGTGTGCTTCATCACAGCACCCTCGAGAGTGTCCAGCACAATGTGTCCGAACCACACAATGAAGGCCATGGGACAGAAGTAAAATTACAGCTTTATCATTACGTTTCCCTACAGAAACACCGGTGCTCCAAGTAAAATCTCTTCACCAATGTAAGAAAACAATCCAGTTCTTTACTTTAGTTGAACAAACATATGATGTCATTCTAGAAAAGATAAAAATAGAAAATCTAAGAAGATCTCAGACTTATCTTTCTGGGCTACTGTCAGATAAAATCAGGATCAGGAATAAATTCCACATACATATATTTTCAGAAAATCGGGAAAAGGGAAATCCTTTGTTATTCACTCTTAAGCGAGTCCTACAGAATCAGCATGGGGCTCTCTTCATTTTTACCTAACACCCGTATCTTGCCAAAAATCTACGGCTCGCCTGTAATAATAGCTTCAGATGGAAAGAGATTGGAAACTGCACTAGCCACTCTGTGGAACACTCTGAAGTCATGCATTAGCCAGTAAACTGCCAAATCCCTTCTTCGGGAAAAATTTTTTTTTTTTTACTTACTGCACACTGTGTGGTGAGTTCCAATGGAGCCCAAAAGAATTGCTATGGTGATGAAAATTCATCTTCCACACAGAGCAGAAGCAGATGCATGCTAACGGCATTCCCTTCCTAATTGCCAATTAACACTTTCATCTGCCGTTTAAACATCCTCGTGGAAAAACTATTTTAATAATAAAAATAAAAACTGAACAAATTCAAATAGAGAATATGGTTTGAAGCACCCAGAATCTCAGTGACTGACCCCTTCTCACCACACAGCTTAATGACTCGGGAGAAGGTTTTCACTGGTGTCAGGCAGGCTGGCTGCTCCTCTGCCAAGCTTCAGGTGCGGTGCCTTTGTATCTCACATTTCCCTAGAAGTTCTCTTCTTGGCAATGTTGACACCCACATCACAGAAGGCCACTAGCCTCTCGCTAAGGAAAGGCATCACAAGGTATGTTAGCGTGGACTCTTCCCAGCGCAATCCTGAGCATTTTCTTTGCCCAATGCGCAGTTTTGCCTTCATCAGCTGGCCGTTCTCACTAACTGTATATCACATCTCATTTCGATACAAGACAAATTTATCTGTACCCGTAGCGCTCCCTCACACCCTCTGGCAAACACCAGGAC